TGTAACCTGGGATCCATATTTCGTTGTCCAAGTGACCCTTTTTTTGGGGTCTCAGTGAAAGCCGCGAACATTGCTTTGCCTCTGCAAGCAGTCCACGGATGAAAGGTATTTTGTTGTTTGTTGCAGGCTTTAGACCCTGTATATTTGCAAAGAAGAATGTTATCGGACTGGTGGTATTGTTGGTACTGGGGGGGGATTCTTTTTCCGGCATTAGTATCTGTATCTGTTGGTTTGGAGTGGAGGCCATCGACTGTGGTTCCACTCCAGGAATGACTGGATTTGGTGTACGATTTCTGCCATTTCCTGCCAGTTTTTTTTCCTTCCTGGCACTAAAAAACCTCTCCCTCTTGAGTGGCTGTGGCTTCCCAGGTTTTCCCATGGCCTGGATGTTTTGTATCTTTTTGTCCCCTTTAGATGGTATGCCTGGCAATTTAAGTTATAGCACAGTCTTTCCTGTACTGAAGAGGTACACAGTTCAGGTGAAAAAGCTTACAGGAAGGGAGTTTGGCATTTTCCTGTTGTCATATGGGCATGGCATTTCCTAGGGTGGTCATAGTTGCACGTCCATCTGTTTTTCCAGATTTCCCATGCCAGCAGATACCGAGTGCATAGTATGTGCACAGGCTTGGTTTCCGTTTGCCTTGGGTTTCTGTGACTGTATTCCCTGTTGGTGCATGTTTCCCTGTCTTACTTCTATCCTCCCTAGCACCAACAATGGAGCTCCCACCATTTGTTTTTGGTAATATATCCTCACTATTGCTAGTGGAGTCCTCTTGTTTGCTATTTCCTGCGGTATTTCTAGTTTGCAATATTGGTTTTATCTTATCTTTGACTACACTTGTTTCCCTACTATGGCTCCTGTCCCCTATGAGGTCATTCATATGTATTCCTTCCTGCGTATAATTCCCAACTACCTGGACAAAATCTCCAGCTTCACCATTACTGACTCCCAGGACAGCATCTCCAGCTTCCCCATTACTGTCTCCCTGGACAGCATCTCCAGCTTCACCATTACTGTCTCCCAACAGACCGCTGGCAGTCTTCAAGCTGGCACTGGACAAGCACCTAAAGTCGGTTCCTGACCAGCCGGGCTGTGGCTCGTACTTTGGTTTGCGTGCAGCCAGTAGCAACAGCCTGGTTGATCAGGCTCTGATCCACCAGGAGGCCTGGTCACAGACCGGGCCGCGGGGGCGTTGACCCCCGGAACTCTCTCCAGGTAAACTCCAGGTAATACCTCTGCTTAAAGCTATGTATGGATCCTGCCTCCACTACTTCGCTTCCCAAACTATTTCACTTCCTGACTACTCTGTGGCTGAAGAAATACTTCCTGACATCCCTGTGATTCATCTGTGTCTTCAACTTCCAACTGTGTCCCCTTGTTACTGTGTCTAATCTCTGGAACATCCTGTCTTTGTCCACCTTGTCAATTCCTCTCAGTATTTTGTAAGTCGTTATCATGTCCCCCCTATCTCTCCTGTCCTCCAGTGTCGTCAGGTTGATTTCCCTAACCTCCCCTCGTAGGACATACCTCTTAGCTCGGGGACTAGTCTTGTTGCAAACCTTTGCACTTTCTCTAGTTCCCCTTTTTTTATGTGCTTGGCTAGGTGGGGGGTTTTCCAAACTGGTGCCGCATACTCCAATAGGGCCTAATGTACACGGTGTACAGGGTCCTGAACGATTCCTTATTAAGATGTCGGAATGCTGTTCTGAGGTTTGCTAGGCGCCCATATGCTGCAGCCGTTATTTGGTTGATGTGCGCTTCAGGAGATGTGCCTGGGGTTATATTCACCCCAAGATCTTTTTCCTTGAGTGAGGTTTGTAGTTGTGTGGTGTGTGTGTGTGTGGTGTGTGTGTGTGTTGTGTGTGTGTGTGTGTACTCACCTATTTGTACTCACCTATTTGTGTGTGTGTGTGTGTGTGTGTGTGTGGGTGTGCATGCTTGTGTGTGTGGGTGTGCATGCTTGTGTGTGTGGGTGTGCATGCTTGTGTGTATGCATACGTGTGTACGCTCGTGTGCATGTGTCTGTGCGTTCGCCCTCGTGTGTGCATGTGTGTGCGCACACGCTCATGTGGGTGTATGATCCACTTAATATTTGTATTTATAACTCATTACAACTGTGGCCGGGTATGGACGTGTCATGACTCATTACTTTGTAATTTGTTCATGATTGTAACCATGTATAGGAGTGAGGATGGTTCTTTACCTTTGTAACTTATGATTGTGACCAGATCTACCTGGAGTTCATTACTTTCGTAACTAGTTCAGCTATCATAACTTTGGGGTCCAGTCCCTGGACGCATTATGTACCTCTGTAATCTTTTGACTACCACCCACAGGATGGGTGTGAGGTGCATAATTAACATATTAAACTAACTAAACTCTATGGAATGAGCTTATTTAAAAATGTTATGGCAGGCAGTGTCATAAGTATTTTCGAGATAAATAAAAAGACCACATTGCAAACGTACGTATCCAAGCAGCTTGAGGGATAAATGATAGAATGGCCCTTACGAAAACCAAATTCAAGGAGGATGGGGAGAGAATTTTGGGTTCTCAAGTACCACACTAAACATATGGTAACTAAGCATTCCAGCAACTAACAGATTGCACTAGTATAAACAATAGGTCCATGGTGAGAGGTGTTATGGCCTAAAGTACATGGTTTACGAAAAAGTAAATGACAGTGTTTTCCATTGAAGAGGAAGGATCCATTGGAACCAAACAAGATTGAGAAGATGTAAGAGGATGGAGCAGAAGGAATATCAGGAAGAGGTATGACATGTATAAAACACCCAATCTGTCTGCCCAAACTGCCAACACGAGCATCAAGGGAGTTGGGTGTATGAGTGAGAAGTAAGAATGATCACTGTTATGATGATCAGGTACTACAGATCAATTAAGAGCAAATGCTATAGAAGAAGAGCATAAAGAAAGATTTACACATGAAAGGGAACGAGTGCGATGATTTAAATGTGGAGGAGTGCCTGGGTTTAAGACATGTAAAGATGGAGAAATGAGAAAAAGCCTCTAATTCTTCCAAACGAGTTACAGTGAGACCCTCCCTAGAGCAGATGATGAGCATTAAGATTACCCAATAAAAGTAGTGGAGCAGGTAAGGAAGAAATGTAAAATTGAATGTCAGGGATAGATAGTGGATGTGAAGTGGATGGATAAAAAGAACAGTGTATCACTTGCCCAAATAAGACTCAGGCTGCAGTATACTAAAGCTGAGTATGAACTAAAAGCTGCAAATAATGAATAACACTGTCCACAAGAATGGCACTTACGTTGTATGTCTCGTTGGCAAATGAATGGATCTAGTGACCATAATAAAACATAGCCAGAAATAGGAAGTCCAACTGTGTAAAGTAATTTTGGTTCTTGTAAACAAATAAATACAGGGGAAATTAGGAGAGCAACAACTGGAGCTCTGCACATTTTCCCTTGCACCATCTGATGCACACATTTTGATCAACAGGAACTTTATCAATTCTTTAGAGTTGATAAAGAATTGGAGAATTTATAAAAATTACCAGGTGCATGAAACGTCTCAATAAAATTCTATAAACTGCATATTTTCTTAATAACATTGTGCTTGAATATTGACATTTTTTCCACTGACTTTGAATGTTGATAAATCTAAACCAAATCTAAGATGAGTTCTGCCTTTAATTAGCCTTTCAACCAAACAGAATGTGGAGGTAGGAAACTTTGGTGGCTGGGAGATCATTTCCCAGAGGATGAAGGAGGCCAACAAGATCACTGCCAACTACATCGACCTTCTGAAGCAAGTGTAGGTGTTATGATTATATCCATAGGGAAATTCTAAGCCTGTAAGGTTCTTACATTGTTTATATCCTCTGTTTATTTTGGTTTTCTATTTGTGCACTTCAGTCATATCTCCTCTAACTCTGACTTTCTAGAGTGCAAATTCAGTTCCTTCAGCCTATCTTTGTAGGAAAGGTTTCTGATATGTAAGATCAACTTTGTCAGCTTTCTCTTTATATTTTCCAGCTCATTAATGTCCACTCTGTAATATGGCAACCTGAACTGGTTACCAGACTAAATGAGGCCTTGCCAATGATATACAGTGGAACCTCGGTTTTTGTATGCCCTGGTTGTCGTAGGATTTGGTTTTTGACGACATTTTTTGTGGTAATTTTCTTCCAGTTTTCGTACATCTGCTCAGTTTTCATAGATTTGACAGTGGTCTGCCGTACCAAACACGTCCACCTGCCTGCGCCCACACAAAGCATCCCACGCATTCTGACTAAGTCAGGCTTTGTTTCTCGTTGAGTGAGCATTACCCTGCACGTCTGGATAACATTTCATAATAATCCATTGTAATAAGCCACCATGTGTCCTTGAGAAGGACTTTGAAGGGTTTGAGGCTGACCCTGATGGCCCTATGCCTATTGTAGAATCTACTGTGTCTTTGAGGAAGTCCAACGGATTGGATGTGAGTGGCCAGGATGTAGAAGAGTTGGTGGATGACCACAGGGAAGAGCTAACCACTGAAGAGCTGCAAGACCTACAACTGGAACAGCAACAGACTGCAGCTGAGGACATTGCTTCAGAGGAGGAGGAAGAGAGAGGGAAGAATGTGCCTTTTTAAGTGATTAAAGACAGTTGTGCAAAGTGGAATGAGTTAAAAACTTTTGTGGAAAAAATATCATCCTAACAAAGCTATTGCAAGCTGAAAACCGAGGTTCCATTGTACTGTAGTTAGAAAAGTGATAAACACTTCTAGAAATCTATAGTTATAAGATCTTAAATAAAATCATTTATACCATAACTATAAACGATTAGAGATAATAATACACTGTACAGTGTATACTTCCAATTGTTGTTGCACATGAATAATGTCATATACATTATTTAGTTTAGCTGTACTAGTGTAGTTTTTATGTTACCATCATTTTTACCCCTTGGATTCACTCTTCAGGGCATCAGCAATGGACACCTTTGGACGAGCACTAATAAAAACTGCTAGAGACTCACGTCTACCTGATATGGAACATGGGTTAGTCAATTCATTTGAACTTTGATATGAGATTATAAATGCCATTTATGTTTTTTTCAAACCATTCCTACTTTTTTCCATTAAATAAAGTTAGAAGATTAAAGATTAAAGACTTTATTTCTTTGCATAGGTTACAATGAGTAATTACAATTTTGATTTGTTAAGTACAAAGAAAGCCACTATCATGCTGGGGTATTTCGAGCAAACTAATCCTAGTACATAATAACTACTTAAGTCTACACAAGATAAGAATGGTTAACATTTTAATAAATCTTTTTTGTATCTTAATACTACAAATGCGAGGTAGTCAGGGTGGAGGTTTATAAGATTAATAATCTTGAAGTTGTGTATAATAAACACAATATTACAATTAATGGTTCAAACAGTAATATTTTATGGACTGGCTGATGTTTTAATAGACTAGAGGTCATATAATATAATATTTGGGAGAGCTGCTTCACACTGATTAGAAATTGTCATTTGGTTAGTTACTGAGAGATGAGATGATTTTTAGGCATAGCCCTAAATTTGTATGTAGTCAGGGTATCCTTAACCAGTTCAGGTAGTGAATTCCAGATTTTCAGGCCCTTTATGTGCATTGCATTTTTGCAAAGTGTGAAACTGACACGAGGGATGTCGAAGAGTGCCTTGTGCCTTGTATTGTGACTGTGCATTCTTTTGTAGCTATCAAGGAGAAGTTTGAGTGGAGGGTTTATATTGGAGTTTAATAGCAAGCTCTGCTTATGATAAATTAAACACACTTGGGTATCTTTAATGAGGAAACATTTCGCCACACAGTGGCTTCATCAGTCCACTGTGTGGCAAAATATTTCCTCATTAAAGATACCCAAGTGTTGCACATGTGTCTAATTTATCAACTTGTCGGTTCTCAGAACCATTCATCTACAAGTTCTGCTTGTGTAATTAGACACTTTGTTTTATTATAGATTGCTGACCTACAAACATTTTCACTTATGAATGGGCTCTGTAGAACCAGTTAAATTTTTAGAACCACTGATCTGCAGTAGAAACAAGCAAAACAACCATCTTTTGTACCAGAGATATTGCTTTCTATAAATGCAACTTGTGTGTAAATTAAGAAAATCTGGAATGCACCTCATGAAGGATGACTCTCATATTATGGCTGTAAACAACTCACAGAACAAGAAAGATTCAAACCATAGCAAGCCAGTCCAAAAACTAGCAGGCCAGTGCTCAAACCACATGGTACAGTAGTTAAAGCACTGGCCTGGTAGATTTTAGGACTGGCTTTCCATGGGTTTAAATCAAGCCTGTGCTGTGAGTCATGTGTAAGTTAACTCTGGGAATAAAATTCATTTATACGTTTGTAAGCTTATGTAGAAGTTTGTATACTCATTTGGGAGTTTGGAAGCTTCAACTTACAAATGCAACTCATTCTTATGTTGAAATGTTTGTAAGCTGTGACATTCATAAAAAATATTATATTTTTTGCTGAATAAAAGATCTTACTCAGATTATTTGCCTTGGAGGGTTAACAACTCAGGATTATCTAAGAAAGCCAAGTTGTGTAGCTTATTTACTTTGCTCTCCTCACAGAGAGCTGAAGGCATCACTGTTGGCTGCTCGAACAAGTGTGGAGTACTGGGGGCAAGACAGTGTGGATGCAGCAGATGCCATCACCACAGAAGTTACTCAACTATCACAGTATCTTACACAGGCCAAGCTTATATGCAAGCATGCCAAGGAGCAAGCTAAGTAAGGCTGTGTCATAGAGTATGCGAATAACAGAGACTGAATAATATTTTATACTGTACAGTAGTATTTAGTCTGGCATTTATGAATAATAAATTGGTGGTGTGTTGTGATAAAAATTACGTATTTTGTAAAAATGTTCCCCAGATCTTTCTAGCAATAATGTTTCTGAGTTTTGTTAATTGTGCCTCTTATTACATAAATTACATAACAAGACTCAAAATTTTAATAAATACTTCAGCAGTTAATCAGAAAAATTTATATCTGGTATATTATTAACGTACTAATGAGGTTTTTTAGTGAGGTTACTAACTAATGAGCTGCAATATTTAGGTACATATTTGCATATGTATACAAATGCTCTACAGCTGGCTGTATTGTTATGTAATGTGTCTGTGTTGTAGACAACGTCAGCAGCAGGTGCGGGAAGGAATGCGGAGAGTGCAACAGGCTCAGCGAGAGTCTCAGGTATGTAAAACATGTTTTACTTACCTTACATGTATTGTTACCACATACAGTATTTTCAGTATTGCAGATAACCTGGACTAGATCTTTATCCTCCCATTGTAACTCATGAAGTATTGTACCATATTCATTGAGAAACAGTAAGCTTTTAGAGGGTCATACAACACTTGGAAAATGGAAGGCAGTCAGGTTCAGTCCAAGGAAGAGAAGGGGTACTTTCAATTCTTAGGATTAAGAGCTCTTCACTAGTTTCAAGACACCCCTCTTAAGGATGAAGCTAAGTACATGAATTGAAGGAATCATAGGGACGATACAGGATTATTCAGCATGATAAATTGTTGTTAGGATGACATTAAGAAAAGGCTTTTTTGACAGTAGCTTCGAAGCGGCTGGCAAACAGGGACTCTGGAGTTTTCAGATATTGAGTTCCAGATTTTATGTCCTTTTATCCACATTAAATTTTTACAAAGATTGAGCTGGATGTGGGGAATATCATAGAGATTTTTGTATCTAGTATTATGCCTATGAGTCCTGTTGTAACTGTCAAGAAAGAATAATGACAATAACAATAACAATTTTATTTTAGCATGACACATGTTTATACAAAGGAGTGTAACAATTTGGTGAACATACCAAAAACCCCTTTATATGCAGAGCATTTCAGGCAAACTTAAGACTAACTTAAGTTTGAAGTAATGATTAAATAGTTGAGCAATCATCAAGCACAATATACAGTAATGAAATTGAAACAATTTTAAGTTTGAAGTAAATGATCAAATACAGTAGTTGAGCAGTCATAAATTATTTTGGAGTTTTTTGAGTAACTGGTAGGTTTTAAGTATAGTGTTTGTCTGATTAATTTTGGGTGATGAGGTGATTTCTAAGTAGGGCCTTAAACTGATTTGCAGGCAGGCGCCTTTTAGTGTGTTCTGGCAATGAATTCCAGATCTTCGGGTCCTTTATGTGCATAGCATTTTTGCATAGGGAGAGATGGACAAAAGGGATATTGAAGAGTGATTTGTACCTTGTATTATGGCTGTGCATTCTGTTGTAGTTATCAAGGAGGAGTTTGAGAGGAGGGGTTAATATTTGAGTATAATGTTCTGTGTGTGTAGTAGACAAAATAATAAGTGTGGATGTTTTGTATACACCCTCTCCTCACTTACCGACATACTCGTTTACCGACGGCTTGGACTTACGACGGGCTCTGACCCGTATGCATACCTATATAATGTATATAAGAGCTGATTTCTTCTATTCTGTTTATTACAATATTCAGTACACTACTGTATAAACATTTAAAAATATACTAAAAATGTTATAAATGGTGCAAAAGTGACATTAAAATAATATCAGAGATGGTTGACACAAACCCACTACCATTACAGTATGCTCCTCATTTAGCAACAAATTTGTTTACCACATGGTCTTAGGAACAGAACTCCATTGTTAAATGAGAAGAGGCTGTATTAAGCAAGTTAAGGCTCTTAAAAAGTGATGGAGTGTGCTGTCTAGTACAGGAGTTGGTAATCAATTCCACTGCAGCTTTTTGTTGAGTTATTAATGGTTTAAGGTGATTTGCTGTGGTTGAGCCCTATGCACAAATACCATAGGTGAGGTAAGGGTAAATGAGAGATTGGTAAAGAGCAAGAAAAGCTGTGTGGGGTACATAGTACCTCATCTTTGAAAGGATGCCTACTGTTTTGGAGACTTTCTTGGATATTTGCTGTATGTGGGTCTGGAATTTGAGACTGCAGTCAAGGTGGAGGCCTAGAAATTTGCCCTGTGTTTGTCTTGAAATGGGTGAACCATTCATCAATATGTTTAGCTCTGTTTCCAAATATTTGGAAGCTCTGTTTCCAAATAGCATGAAGTAGGTTTTGTCTATATATTATTGTCTATATTGTGGAATATTTGATAGACACCCTTGGTGGGGTTGCCTTGCCTGCATGGGTTCTCCCTGCCTGGGTAGGGTTGTCCTGCCATGGTGAGATTGCCTTACCATTGAGGGGTTGTCCTGCCTTAGTGGGGATGTCTTGCCTAGATGGGGTCATCTTGCCTTGATGGTCTCACCTTTTCATTATGGGAAAAAGCCAGTATTAAAAAATAATTACAATATATTTACAGTAGTTTTATTATCAGTTTAATTTTGCAATACACTTGTACAAGTGCCTGCACTCTAAAGAAGGGGTGAGATATTTGCTGTTTGGAGGGAATTTTGAGCTGTTGTATCTGCACACCTCTGGCAAGACAGTGAGTAAAGTAAAAGGACACAAGTGCAACTAGTGTGACATTTTATTGTGGCAACATTTCGCTCTCCAGGAGCTTTATCAAGCCATTACAAACAATACATGAACACAGAGGGTATATAAAGGCTCAGAGTGAGGTGCAAGGACAAAATCCAAGCACCACGAACCAGTCAATGCAGGAGTTTACACTATACCCTGTGGAGGCTGTGACAAGATTTACGTAGGTAAAACAGCAAGAAACCTCGACACCCGCCTCAATGAACACATTTACGCATGTAGGAACGACAACTTGAACAACGCCTGTGTACAACACCGAAATTCCACCAATCATCTCATGAAATTCAGAGACGCCCAATTAGTGATCAAAGAAACTAATTTCCGCAGACACAAGTGCCTCGAATCAGCACTGATCGCTGTTTCGAATACAATTAAACAAAACAACGGCAGCTTCACCATCTCTGAAGTCTTAGCAAGAATCCTCCTGAAAACAGTAAACCCTGCCATCACATAGTCTCTCCTGTTATACTACACAAAGCACATTACAGAGAGTGAACACTGAAACAAGCTGCCTCTTTCCAGTCTATATTTGTCCAACCTATTTTTATGTTACCCAAGTAATAGCTTTTATGTCCTTTTACTCATGTACGAATTAATTGCTCTACAATATTGTATTACTTTTGTCACTACTACTACTACTACTACTACCACTAGTGAACATCGAAATGGTACCTCACTAGTATTCACCTCACTCTGAGCCTTTATATACCCTCTGTGTCCATGTATTGTTTGTAATGGCTTGATAAAGCTCCTGGAGAGCGAAACGTTGCCACAATAAAATGTCACATTAGTTGCACTTGTGTCCTTTTACTTTACATATTGTCGGTAATTCTACCAACTTTATTACAAGACAGTGAGTGTGAGTGTTGGTGAAAATGTTTCTTTTTTGGGTCACCCTGCCTTGGTGGGAGGCAGCCAGTGTGTTAAAAAATATATGTACATGTATATACATGCACACACACATACATACATACATGTATAAATAAATATAATTTTCCTTCTTATTTTCTTGCTGTCTACCTAGAAAAAACTTCAAGAGTTGATGGATAAAGAAACAAACAAACTAAGAGTGGATAGTAAACCTGATGCCAAACCTAAAGAGCTAGAAAAGGTAAGGACATCCTGCACAAAATCATTTATATGTAGAGTTATTTCAATTGTGATTGTTCATGTATTCCAGGCAAAATGCTGTTTAGAGCTGTAATCTCAGGGAGGCAAGGGGAATGCATCTGCTTTACCTAGAATTTTGAAGCAAAAAGCCTACTATACATAAATACTAATTGGGAAATGCTGACCTTTTATCTTACAAAAATAGGTAGACTAATCAACAGTGGTATTAAACTTTTTATGCTTATAATGTAAGCTTATAGACATAGGTCGTGAGTTATTGTTAACTGACTGATAGCTATTTTAGGTGTAGCCCTTTAAGGACTTGTGCAAGCTACAGGCCTGCTAGTGAGTCAATGATTATTGATATTACCTTCTTTGGGTCATGCCAACATTAGTGGAAATTGAATATTTTTTTTAAGAAGTGATTTATATTCAATTCAATTCAAAGTTTATTCTCTATAAGGATTACAATGCTGAGTTTACAGAATTTGGTTATTGTGTGGTTTACATGTAGTAAAATAATGATTACAGAGTGTACCACTAGAACACCTAGCATGGCTAGGCATTTCAGGCAGACTTAGTTTAAATCTTAATTTTAAAATATTACAAATTATGAGGTAAGTTGGTATTATGGCAAAGTGACTAAATACGAGATTGTGAGTTTAGCAATGTGAATGCTTTTGTTTTGGCACAGTACATAGTTTCAGTAATGGAGTATCACAGGATTCATTATTTTAAGATTGAGATTAATATTTCTGTTTATGGTCAAATGGGTGAGTGAGTGTAAGTGTGAACCACCAGGTGGTATTCGTGTAGTTAGTTGACGGGGTGTATCAGGGAGATAAGATGTTTTCTAATGGAAGTTTTGAAGGTGATGAATGTGTCTGCAGTTCTAGAGTTATTTAATTAGAGAAGGAGAAAGACAAACCAGGGGAAGCTAACAGAATGCAGCATTAGAAACAAAAATGTATATATGTACCTGGTATGATTTAGCAACTGTAGATTATGGTCATTTGGCAAGGCTGAAATTTAGCAGTTTAGATGAGGATCATCAGGTGATATATAGGGTCAATGGTGTAAAGTTGTCAGTATAGCAGGTGATGATGATAATTAACAGGTGAGGAGGAAAATAAAAATCTAATAAAATTATAATTTATCATGAGCTGAAAATGATAATTAAAATGGTTTGAACTTTACTAGTCCATTATTTTAAATTCAGTATGACTGGCATTATGCCATTTGAATCCAGCTTATCAGACACTGCAGCATCATGGAGCATTTATTAAGAGTATACACCACACTACTCATAGAAATATTACACTTCATCACCGCATTGCACCACTAAAACACTCCTTCCCACGCTTGTCTCCAGTAATTTTTGGCTGAGTATACCTGGAGAGGGTTTTGGGGGTCAACGCCCCCATGGCCAGGTCTGTGACCAGGCCTCATGGTGAATCAGGGCCTGATCAACTGACATACGAACCACAGCCCAGGTGGTCAGGTACTGACTTTAGGTGCCAGTCCAGCACCTTCATGAAGACAACCAGGGGTCTATTGGTAATCTCCTTTATGTAGGCTGGGAGGCAGCTGAACAGTCTAGGGCCCCTGGCACTTATTGTGTTGTCTCATCGTGCTAGTGGTGCCCCTGCTTTTCATTGCTGGGATATTGCATCGTCTGCCGAGTCTTTTGCTTTCATAGGGAAATCGGTACCTGACCAGCCGGGCTGTGGTTCGTACAGTGGATTGCATGCAGCCAGCAGTAACAGCCTGGTTGATCAGGCTCTGATCCACTAGGAGGCCTGGTCACAGACTGGGCCGTGGGGGCGTTGGCCCCCAGAACTCTCTCCAGGTAAACTCCAGGAGTGATTTTCACATGCAAGTTTGGTACTAATCTCTCTAGTATTTTCTAAGTAATATATAATCATGTATCTTTCCCACCTGCATTCTAGGGAGTACAGGTTGAGGAACTTTAAGTGTTCCCAGTAATTGAGGTGCTTTATCAGTTTTGTGCCGTAAAAGTTCTCTGTACATTTCTAGGTCAGCAATTTCACCAGACTTGAAAAGTGCTGTTGGTGTGCAGCAATATTCCAGCCTAGATAGAACAAGTGACTGACGAAATCATAATGACACGATTGCAAACAAACCATACCACGGGCAGGATTTGAACCCGCGGTCAGAGAGTCTCAAAACTCCAGACCGTCGCGTTAGCCACTGGGCCAGCTCGCTTCAATAAGATTCGTCCAACTAGGTGTATTTCTACACCATAGGAAGGTTAGCATAGGCACCACTGTGACCACAAATGCAAGTATGGTTAGAACAAGTGACCTGCAATGCCATCATGGGCTTGGCATCCCTAGTTTTGAAGGTTCTCATTATCCATCGTGTCATTTTTCTAGCAGATGTGATTGATACAATGTTGTGATCTCTGAAGGTGATATCCTCTGACATTATCACTCCCAGGTCTTTTACATTAGTTTTTCACTCTATTGTGTATTAGAATTTGTTTTATACTCCTATGCAGTTTTAATTTCCTCATGTTTTCCATATTGGAGTAATTGAAATTTCTCATCATTGAACTTCATATTTTTTTTCCAGCCCACTGAAAGATTTGGTTGATGTCCACCTGGAGTCTAGCAGTGTCTTCAGTAGAGGACACTGTCATGCAGATTCAGGTACCATCTGCAAAGAAAGACATGGTGCTATGGCTTACATCCCTGTTCATGTCAGATATGAGGATGTGGAACAGGATGGGAGCAAATACTGATTGATTTGTGGAACAGAGCTTTTCTCTATAGCCACCTCAGACTTTGCTCTCTTCACTGCTACCCTTCATTTTATATTTGTTAGGAAATTATAGATCCATCTACCAACTTTTCCTGTTATTCCTTTGTCATGCATTTTGTGCACTATTCACCATGGTCACACTTGTCAAAGGCTTTTGCAAAGTCTGTGTATACTACATCTGCATTTTGTTTGCCTTCTAGAGCATCCAGGACCTTGTCTTAGTGGTCCAGTAGTTGGGACAGGTAGGAGTGACCTGCTCTAAACCCATGTTGCCCTGGGTTGTGTAGCTGATGGGTATCTAGATGGGTGGCGATCTTGCTTCTTAGAACCCTTTCAAAGATTATTACAATGTGGGATGTTAGTGCTATCAGTCTGTATTTCTGAGAAAACATTCCTGTTATAATAATAATATCTTTATTTCTGCAAGTACATGTACAAGATATACAGGCCTAGCTGTACTACATAGAAAGCCTGGAGTTTTAGAGTTCCTGGGGTCAACACCCCCACGGCCCGGTCTGTGACCAGGCCTTCTGGTGGATCAGAGCCTGATCACCCAGGCTGTTACTGCTGGCTGCACACAATCCAACGTACGAGCCACAGCCCGCTGGTCAGGTACCGACTTTAGGTGCTTGTCCAGTGCCAGCTTGAAGACTGCCAGGGGTCTATTGGTAATCCCCCTTATGTATGCTGGGAGGCAGTTGAACAGTCTCAGGCCCCTGACACTTATACAGTGCTAGTGACACCCCTGCTTTTCATTGGGGGGATGTTGCATCGTCTGCCAAGTCTTTTGCTTTCGTTGTGAGTGATTTTCGTGTGCAAGTTCGGTACTAGTCTCTCTAGGATTTTCCAGGTGTATATAATCATGTATCTCTCCCACCTGCGTTCCAAGGAATACAGGTTCAGGAACTTCAAGCGCTCCCAATAATTGAGGTGTTTTATATCCGTTATGCGTGCCGTGAAGGTTCTCTGTACATTTTCTAGGTCAGCAATTTCACCTGCCTTGAAAGGTGCTGTTAGTGTGCAGCAATATTCCAGCCTAAATAGAACAAGTGACCTGAAGAGTGTCATCATGGGCTTGGCATCCCTAGTTTTGAAGGTTCTCATTATCCATCCTGTCATTTTTCTAGCAGATGCGATTGATACAATGTTATGGTCCTTGAAGGTGAGATCCTCCGACAAGATCACTCCCAGGTCTTTGACACTGGTTTTTCGCTCTATTTTGTGGCCGGAATTTGTTTTGTACTCTGATGAAGTTTTAATTTCCTCGTGTTTACCATATCGGAGTAATTGAAATTTCTCATCGTTGAACTTCATATTGTTTTCTGCAGCCCACTGAAAGATTTGGTTGATGTCTGCCTGGAGCCTTGCAGTGTCTGCAATGGAAGACACTGTCATGCAGATTCGGGTGTCATCTGCAAAGGAAGACACGGTGCTGTGGCTGACATCCTTGTCTATGTCAGATATGAGGATGAGAAACAAGATGGGAGTGAGTACTGTGCCTTGTGGAACAGAGCTTTTCACCGTAGCTGCCTCGGACTTTACTCTGTTGACTACTACTCTTTGTGTTCTGTTTGTGAGGAAATTATAGATTCATCTACCAACTTTTCCTGTTATTCCTTTAGCACGCATTTTGTGCACTATTACGCCATGGTCACACTTGTCGAAGGCTTTTGCAAAGTCTGTATATACGTATTACATCTGCATTCTTTTTGTCTTCTAGTGCATCTAGGACCTTGTCGTAGTGATCCAATAGCTGAGCCACTTGTTATGCAGAGCATTTTGGGCAAACGAGGTCAGTTTTGTCCCAGGATGCGACCCACACCAGTTGACTGACACCCAGGTACCCGTTTTCTACTGTTGGGTGAATATATATAACTGGCGTAAGGTAACATGCCCAGTGTTTCAACCCTTGCTGGGAACTGAGCTCAGATACTAACCATGTGAAGCAAGAGCTTTTGCCACCAGGCCATGGGCCACCCTACCACACCCACACCATATTCACCTGTCCCTGCCCCTTTTTTTCCTATTTGCAAAATAGGAAAGAAGAATACGTATTTGATGATATTCCAACTATCCATAAGAATATGGAAGCAGAACTCATTAAACTCAGTTAAAAACTCCCAAAAGTGGCAGGAATGTTAGAACAAGTGCATATCATCCAATGGAGATTACTTTGAAGGAGAACTGCTTGTAAAAATGTTTGTACATTATTCTTTAAAATAAAGGTTAAGGCTCAGAATATTCCTATCACCCGTCATATAGATGCAACTAATGTGACATTTTATTGTGGCAACGTTTCACTCTCCAGGAGCTTTGTCAAGCCGTTACAAACAGTACATGGACACAGAGGGTATATATAGGCTCAGAGTGAGATGCAATACTAGAGGTAGTAGTAGTAGTAGTAGTGACGTAAGTTGTAGTAGTAGTAATAATACAATAGGGTAGAGCAATTAACTCGTACATGAGTAAAAGGATATAAAAGCTATTACTTGGGTAACATAAAAATAGGTTAGACAAATATAGACTGGATAGAGAAGGCCTATTTCAGAGTTCACTCTCTGTAATGTGCTTTGTGTAGTATTAACAGGAGAGACTATGTGATGGCAGGGTTTACTGTTTTCAGAAGGATTCTTGCTAAGACTTCAGAGATGGTGAAGCTGGCTTTGTTTTGTTTAAGTGTATTCGAAACAGCGATTAGTGCTGATTCGAGGCACTTGGGTCAGCGGAAATTAGTTTCTTTGATCACTAATTGGGCGTCGGTAATTCTACCAACATTATCACCAATACACCATATGAATCCAACTTAAGTAAATTATTTAGTAAGGATATTCTCCAAATGTATCATTCATGATCTAAGGGACTGGCAAAGGTGCTTTGTTATCTAAGTTACAATGGTTATAAGTTAATTTTATCAGGTTAGAATGACTGATTATTGACTGTAAGCAAAGTCAGAGTATTTTTTCCACTTAGTGTTTAATAGTAACGGTAAATTTTAATCTTGTGTCAGGCATTACAGGCAGGAGTGAGGTCTGTGGAAGCTGCCAAAGAAGCTGAACTCCAACATAAAGATGCAGTCAACTTCCACAATGCTGTGCTTAATGAGTGGTGTTCCTATGCCCATTCTGGTTTTAATACCTTTCAGGTAAAAAAAAGGAATTGTAGGTCAATTATAGGTCAAAACCTTGCCAATAATATCCCAAGCTCAGATACCCCACCAAATGACTACCTCACCGGCAACTACCCGAACACACTGTTCCTAGCTCCGACTAACCCATACAAGTCTCCCTTATTATCAATGCACTGAAAAACAAGGCAGGAGATTTAAATACCTTACCACCCTTTATATACAAAAAAGTGTCACAAGTACTATCACCAATCATTGCAACACTCTTTAACAAATCCATTGAATCCTACACCTTCCCTACAGTTCTCAAAATAGCAAGGGTCACCCCGATCCATAAAGGAGGAGACCAAACAGAGTTGAATAACTATAGGCCAATATCCAATTTACACCCTCTCTCAAAAATCTTCGAAAAATTAATTCATAAACGAATCCACTCCTACCTCATCTCCCATAACATTCTCAACCCCTGCCAATTTGGATTCAGGCCTAATAAAAATACTAATGATGCTATTATACACATGCTAGAACATATATACACTGCAATAGAGAAAAAAGAAGTCCCACTGGGGATCTTCATTGACTTACGTAAAGCTTTTGATACAGTTGACCATGACTTGCTCCATGTAAAATTGTCACACTATGGTATTAGAGGGCACTCCCTCAACTACCTCAAGTCTTACCTCAGCAACAGAAGCCAATATGTGTTACGCAAATGGGGCAAGCTCTTCCGCACAACCAATTACAGTTGGTGTCCCACAGGGAAGTGTCCTTGGCCCTCTTCTCTTTCTCCTATACATAAATGACCTACCAAATGCTTCGCAATTACTCAAACCCACACTTTTTGCAGATGACACCACATACGTCTTCTCTCACCCGAGCCCAGTCACGCTAGCCAATACTGTAAACACCGAATTACAGAAAATATCTACCTGGTGAGGACTAACAAACTTCCACTAAACATTGACAAAACCTACTTCATTCAGTTTGGTAGCAGAGCTACAGATGTACCTCTTAACATAACGATAAACGGATCACCTATCACAAAGCTAACAGAGGGAAAATTCTTAGGAATCCACCTCGATAATAGACTCAAATTTCATACACATATACAACAAATTTCTAAGAAAATTTCCAAGACTGTAGGCATACTATCGAAGATACGGTACTATGTTCCACAGTCAGCCCTCCTGGCCCTTTATCACTCTCTTATTTACCCCTATCTCACCTATGGAATTTGTGCATGGGGCTCAACAACAACTAACCATCTCAGACCACTAATTACCCAACAAAAGGCTGCAGTTAGAATGATAACAAATTCTCACTACAGGCAGCACACTCCCCCAATATTCAAAACACTCAACCTACTCACCATACAAAACATACATACTTATTATTGCACTTATTACATACATAGAATACTTAACTCTGATATTAACCCTCCCCTCAAACATCTCCTTGCCAACCTCAACAGAACACATGACCATAATACAAGGCACAGATCACTCTTTGATGTTCCTCGTGTCCATCTCACGCTATGCAAAAACTCAATGCACATAAAAGGCCCTAAAATCTGGAATTCATTACCTGTAAATATAAAAGAAACACTACCTGTTTATAAATTCAAGTCTCTTCTCAAAGTTCACTTACTCACTCAAACCAAATAAATACTGAATAACTGAACCATATAAATTGTATATCCTAAATGTTACTCACAATTATATCACACAAATGTTAAACCTAACTTTGTTATTTTTTTAAATACACTACCTAACAGAATACTCCATTCTACTGAATGAACAGCAATGCATGCAACCATAGGACCTGTCTTTGTAATACTCATTTGTATTTTATAGTTATCTGTTTACAATAATGTCTTATCACTGATTTCATCATTGCTTAGTTAATCTTAAGTTAATTTTAAGCCAGCCCGTAATGCTATGCATATAAGTAGCTTTGGCATGCTGCTCTTACCTGTATTTTTTGTACCTCTGTTTGTATGCTAAAATTTCTAAATTTCTAAATAAATAAATAAATAAATAAATAAAAGTAGTGCTAGGAAGTTAATAACCGCCATGATGATAAAACTAATTTTTCCATGAAATTTCCAATAAAGATTACATATTTTAATGCTACAAATACTGTACTGTACCTGTAAAATTATTGGCATAACAAAAATAACTTCATGAGACTTACAATTATGATTATAGTATTTTAATATTACAAATACTGTACTGTACCTGTATAAAATAGCAATCAAACATAATACTTGTAACTATATTGATTATCCTAATGTTGAATATAATAATATTAATGATTAACACTAAGCATGACAATTGTGTGCCAGAACAAGGAGGAGCATAGGGTGAGGCTTGTGCGGGACTCTTTGTGGAGAATTGCCAACATCTGTTCACTGTTTGCTGTGCAGTTAGACCAGGTTAGTTAATGTTATCCTTTTAGACATTATAATTGATAGAGATATACTACATATAATGATAATGTTGCGTATAAACAAATACCTGTATTATTTAGAAATATAGAGTGGTAAATTCACTTGGATCTGGAATTTGTTTTGTACTTTGATGAAGTTTTAATTTCCTCGTGTTTACCATATCGGAGTAATTGAAATTTCTCATCGTTGAACTTCATATTGTTTTCTGCAGCCCATTGAAAGATTTGGTTGATGTCCGCCTGGATACTTGCAGTGTCTTCAATGGAAGACACTGTCATGCAGATTCAGGTGTCATCTGCAAAGGAAGACATGGCACTGTGGCTTATATCCCTGTCTATATCTGATATGAGGATGAGGAACAAGATGGGAGCAAGTACTGTGCCTTGCGGAACAGAGCTTTTCACCGTAGCCACCTCAGACTTTGCACTGTTGACTACTACTCTTTGTGTTCTATTTGTGAGGAAATTATAGATCCATCTATCAACTTTTCCTGTTATTCCTTTAGCATGCATTTTATGCACTATTATGCCATGGTCACACTTGTAGAAGGATTTTGCAAAGTCTGTGTACATTACATCTGCATTCTTTTTGTCTTCTAGTGCATCCAGGACCTTGTCCTGGATGGGTGGCTAACCCTCTGGGGTTAATTGTTTCTTGGTAATTGTTTCTCGTTAAGCCACACCAACAACACTCTCTTCACATCTTCGAGTAGTACAGCTGATGTTGGTGCAGCAGCAGCTGACCATGGTACAGCAGCAGCTGCGGTGGTGCAGCAGCAGCTGATGGTGGTGCAGCAGCAGCTGATGGTGGTGCAGCAGCAGCTGATGGCGGTGCAGCAACAGCTGATGGTGGTACAGCAGCAGCTGACGGTGGTGCAACAACAGCAGCAGCTGACCACAGTACGATAGTATTTCTCACTCTCTTTACCACAGGGTTGGCACTAGAAGCTTTCTTTGGGCCCAAGGTGGCTTATTTAGCAGTTATAAGCACTAAAAACAATGGAATAATACAAAATTTATCGAATGTATGTGTGCAACCATCCGCCCTGGCTTGTTAACAATGACACACCAGCTGAGCTGAGGCACTCAGGCCAGATGGACAGACGGACACGTTCGGGACGAATGTTGTTAGTCGAGTTTTTCATTGTTGGTTGGGCCATAATTTTTACACTAAAACGCTTCGTTAGGTGATTTTATCGTTAGACGATGCCTTTGTTGGTTGAGGGTCCACTCTACTGTGAATTGCATTGTGCTTTCAGTATTTTAGACCATATTACAGGACTTGAGTTTAAAACATTATCATTTGAATGGACATGCCACACTAGTTTTATTAAAATCTAATATAATTGATTTTACTTAAACAGAAAAAATATTACAGTGGTTTGTGTATGTCAGAGTACTTGTGGTCATGTGTGATTTTGCAGTATTTGTAGTTATGTTTGCATAAATTATGTTAATTTTAGTTTAAAATCTGAAATGACAGCATATGTATATGTAGGAACATAGAATGATAAAAAAATATATTCATGAATGTTTGGTAGTCATGTGTAAAAACTGCCAGTGACATTAATTACTATTACTTACACCAAAATGAAAAAATAAATGTGTATTTTAGGCAGAGTTCGCAATCTTGTCTTATAAAGCGACAGTTGTTTTGCCAAGTTTAGTTATATACTTGTTGTTACACTAACTTCATGAAAATCAGTCTTAACCAAACAAAACTAACATATTTTGCTGATGTTCAATAAGAGTGTGGAAACTAGTTTTAGACTTACCTAAAATAAGTTGGATAAGATTAAGCTAAATTGTGTTTGTTTGTACATTAGTGAGGTTACCAAGTTTGTTTTTGTTCAAAACTAAAAACATTTATGCTACAAAATTTACACAGATCTAAATGTTAATGAATGATAAATTTTTCATAATTTTTTTTTTTTTTGGGGGCAGTTTATCTTATTTGACTCATATTGTCTAAAAAATGCACTACAGTATATAAATGTATCAAGGATTTCCTAAGTAAACACATTGTAAGCTACCTTAAAATACAGATTGTATGTACTACTGTAACTGAGTAATTATGGAATGTGATGGTATTTAATAGTTTATTGCAATATATGTTATACAATACTGTACAGTGGACCCTCAACCAATGAAGGCATTATCTAATGATAAAATCGACTAACAAAGCGTTTTAGCATAAAAATTTTGGCCTGACCAACGATGAAAAACTCGACTAACATCATTCATCCCAAACGTGTCCACACGGCCGTGTGGCCTAAGCGCACCTTAGCTGCCCTGCCTTCAGTTAGTATGCCAATGTTTACAAGCCAGTGCAGTCACTTCCACGCATACATTCAGTACATTTTGTATTATTCCAGTGTTTTTAGTGCTTGTAACTGCTAAATAAGCCACCATGAGCCCTAAGAAAGTTTTTAGTGCCAACCCTGTGGTAAAAAGGGTGAAAATTACAAATGAAATGAAGAAGGAGATAATCACAAAGTATGAAACTGGACTGCCTGTCTCTGAGCTAGCCAGGTTGTATAACAAACCCCAATCAATCATTGCTACTATCTTGGCCAACAGAAAGGCAATCAAGGAAGCTGTTGTTGCGAAAGGTGCAAGTATGTTTTCGAAACACAGATCACAAGTACAGTGGACCCCCGCATAATGATTACCTCCGAATGTGACCAATTATGTAAGTGTATTTATGTAAGTGTGTTTGTACGTGTATGTTTGGGGGTCTGAAATGGACTAATCTACTTCACAATATTTCTTATGGGAACAAATTCGGTCAGTACTGGCACCTGAACATACTTCTGGAGTGAAAAAATATCGTTAACCGGGGGTCCACTGTACTTGAAGATGTTGAGAGACTGTTATAGGTTGGTAGACAGCAACCACCCAGGGAAGTACTACCGTCCTGCCAGATGACTGTGAAACAAAAAACCTGTAACTGTTTGCATGATGGTAGGAATTGCTGGTTTCTTTTTCTGTCTCATAAACACGCTAAGATAACAGGGATATCTTGCTACTCCTACTTACACTTTGGTCACACTTCACAGACACGCACATGCATATATATATACATACATCTAGGTTTTTCTCCTTTTTTCTAAATAGCTCTTGTTCTTTTTTATTTCTTCTATTGTCCATGGGGAAGTGGAAAAGAATCTTTCCTCCGTAAGCCATGCGTGTCGTATGAGGCGGCTAATAATGCCGGGAGCAATGGGCTGGTGACCCCTTCTCCTGTATACAATTACTAAAAAAGAGAAGAAGAAAAACTTTATAAAACTGGGTTGCTTAAATGTGCGTGGATGTAGTGCGGATGACAAGAAACGATGATTGCTGATGTTATGAATGAAAAGAAGTGGATGTCCTGGCCCTAAGCGAAACAAAGCTGAAGGGGGTAGGAGAGTTTCAGTGGGGGGAAATAAATGGGATTAAATCTGGAGTATCTGAGAGAGTTAGAGCAAAGGAAGGGGTAGCAGTAATGTTAAATGATCAGTTATGGAAGGAGAAAAGAGAATATGAATGTGTAAATTCAAGAATTATGTGGATTAAAGTAAAGGTTGGATGCGAGAAGTGGGTCATAATAAGCGTGTATGCACCTGGAGAAGAGAGGAATGCGAGGAGAGAGAGAGATTTTGGGAGATGTTAAGTGAATGTATAGGAGCCTTTGAACCAAGTGAGAGAGTAATTGTGGTAGGGGACTTGAATGCTAAAGTAGGAGAAACTTTTAGAGAGGGTGTGGTAGGTAAGTTTGGGGTGCCAGGTGTAATGATAATGGGAGCCCTTTGATTGAACTTTGTATAGAAAGGGGTTTAGTTATAGGTAATACATATTTTAAGAAAAAGAGGATAAATAAGTATACACGATATGATGTAGGGCGAAATGACAGTAGTTTGTTGGATTATGTATTGGTAGATAAAAGACTGTTGAGTAGACTTCAGGATGTACATGTTTATAGAGGGGCCACAGATATATCAGATCACTTTCTAGTTGTAGCTACACTGAGAGTAAAAGGTAGATGGGATACAAGGAGAATAGAGCATCAGGGAAGAGAGAGGTGAAGGTTTATTAAACTAAAGAGGAGGCAGTTAGGGTAAGATATAAACAGCTATTGGAGGATAGATGGGCTAATGAGAGCATAGGCAATGGGGTCGAAGAGGTATGGGGCAGGTTTAAAAATGTAGTGTTAGAGTGTTCAGCAGAAGTTTGTGGTTACAGGAAAGTGGGTGCAGGAGGGAAGAGGAGCGATTGGTGGAATGATGATGTAAAGAGAGTAGTAAGGAGAAAAAAGTTAGCATATGAGAAGTTTTTTACAAAGTAGAAGTGATGCAAGGAGGAAGAGTATATGGAGAAAAAGAGAGAAGTTAAGAGAGTGTGAAGCAATGTAAAAAGAGAGCAAATGAGAGAGTGGGTGAGATGTTATCAACAAATTTTGTTGAAAATAAGAAAAAGTTTTGGAGTGAGATTAACAAGTTAAGAAAGCCTAGAGAACAAATGGATTTGTCAGTTAAAAATAGGAGAGGAGAGTTATTAAATGGAGAGTTAGAGGTATTGGGAAGATGGAAGGAATATTTTGAGGAATTGTTAAATGTTGATGAAGATAGGGAAGCTGTGATTTCGTGTATAGGGCAAGGAGGAATAACATCTTGTAGGAGTGAGGAAGAGCCAGTTGTGAGTGTGGGGGAAGTTCGTGAGGCAGTAGGTAAAATGAAAGGGGGTAAGGCAGCCGGGATTGATGGGATAAAGATAGAAATGTTAAAAGCAGGTGGGGATATAGTTTTGGAGTGGTTGGTGCAATTATTTAATAAATGTATGGAAGAGGGTAAGGTACCTAGGGATTGGCAGAGAGCATGCATAGTTCCTTTGTATAAAGCAAAGGGGATAAAAGAGAGTGCAAAAATTATAGGGGGATAAGTCTGTTGAGTGTACCTGTAAAGTGTATGGTAGAGTTATAATTGAAAGAATTAAGAGTAAGACGGAGAATAGGATAGCAGATGAACAAGGAGGCTTTAGGAAAGGTAGGGGGTGTGTGGACCAGGTGTTTACAGTGAAACAATATAAGTGAACAGTATTTAGATAAGGCTAAAGAGGTCTTTGTGGCATTTATGGATTTGGAAAAGGCGTATGACAGGGTGGATAGGGGGGCAATGTGGCAGATGTTGCAAGTGTATGGTGTAGGAGGTAGGTTACTGAAAGCAGTGAAGAGTTTTTACGAGGATAGTGAGGCTCAAGTTAGAGTATGTAGGAAAGAGGGAAATTTTTTCCCAGTAAAAGTAGGCCTTAGACAAGGATGTGTGATGTCACCGTGGTTGTTTAATATATTTATAGATGGGGTTGTAAGAGAAGTAAATACGAGGGTCTTGGCAAGAGGCGTGGAGTTAAAAGATAAAGAATCACACACAAAGTGGGAGTTGTCACAGCTGCTCTTTGCTGATGACACTGTGCTCTTGGGAGATTCTGAAGAGAAGTTGCAGAGATTGGTGGATGAATTTGGTAGGGTGTGCAAAAGAAGAAAATTAAAGGTGAATACAGGAAAGAGTAAGGTTATGAGGATAACAAAAAGATTAGGTGATGAAAGATTGAATATCAGATTGGAGGAGAGAGTATGGAGGAGGTGAACGTATTCAGATATTGGGAGTGGACGTGTCAGCGGATGGGTCTATGAAAGATGAGGTGAATCATAGAATTGATGAGGGAAAAAGAGTGAGTGGTGCACTTAGGAGTCTGTGGAGACAAAGAACTTTGTCCTTGGAGGCAAAGAGGGGAATGTATGAGAGTATAGTTTTACCAACGCTCTTATATGGGTGTGAAGCGTGGGTGATGAATGTTGCAGCGAGGAGAAGGCTGGAGGCAGTGGAGATGTCATGTCTGAGGGCAATGTGTGGTGTGAATATAATGCAGAGAATTCGTAGTTTGGAAGTTAGGAGGAGGTGCGGGATTACCAAAACTGTTGTCCAGAGGGCTGAGGAAGGGTTGTTGAGGTGGTTCGGACATGTAGAGAGAATGGAGCGAAACAGAACGACTTCAAGAGTGTATCAGTCTGTAGTGGAAGGAAGGCGGGGTAGGGTCGCCTAGGAAGGGTTGGAGGGAGGGGGTAAAGGAGGTTTTGTGTGCGAGGGGCTTGGACTTCCAGCAGGCATGCGTGAGCGTGTTTGATAGAGTGAATGGAGACAAATGGTTTTTAATACTTGACGTGCTGTTGGAGTGTGAGCAAAGTAACATTTATGAAGGGATTCAGGGAAACCGGCAGGCCGGACTTGAGTCCTGGAGATGGGAAGTACAGTGCCTGCACTCTGAAGGAGGGGTGTTAATGTTGCAGTTTAAAAACTGTAGTGTAAAGCACCCTTCTGGCAAGACAGTGATGGAGTGAATGATGGTGAAAGTTTTTCTTTTTCGGGCCACCCTGCCTTGGTGGGAATCGGCCGGTGTGATAATAAAAAATAAAAAAATAAATGAAAAACAGATATCAGAAGATAGTATCTCTCAATCAATCATATGTGAAAAGGCAAGGCAGTTGCATGATGATTTAATTAAAAAAAGGCCTGCAACTAGTGGTGATGTGAGTGAATTTAAGGCCAGCAAAGGTTGGTTTGAGAGATTTAAGAATTGTAGTGGCATACACAGTGTGGTAAGCTATGGTGAGGCTGCCAGTTTGGACCAAAACGTGGCTGAAAATTATGTGCAGGAATTCAAGGAGTACATAGACACTGAAAAATTGAAACCCCAACAAGTGTTTAAGTGTGACAAAACAGGCTTATTTTGGAAGAAAATGCCAAACAAGACCTACATTACACAGGAAGAAAAAGCACTCCCAGGACACAAGCCTATGAAGGACAGGGTTACTTTAATGTTATGTAGTAATGCTAGTGGTGATTGCAGAGTGAAGCCTCTACTTGTGTATCACTCTGAAACTCCCAGAGTGTTTAAGAAAAATAATGTCATCAAGGATAATTTGTGTGTGATGTGGAGGGCAAACAGTAAGGCATGAGTCACTAGGGACATTTTCTATGATTGGTTTTATCATGTATTTGGCCCCACTGTGAAAAATAACCTCCTGGAAAATAAATTGGACCTTAAGTGCCCCCTGGTATTAGACAGTGCTCCTGCTCATCCTTCAGAATTGCCAGAACGAATTTTGAGGGACTTGAGTTTTATCAAAGTGAAATTCTTGCCTCCTAATACCACTCCTCTCCTTCACCCCATGGACCAGCAGGTCATTTCAAATTTCAAAAAAACTGTACACCAAAGCAATATTTCAAGTGCTTTGAAGTGACCTTAGACACTCAATTGACCCTAAAAGAGTTTTGGAAAGATCACTTTAGTATCCTCAGTTGCATAAACCTTATAGGTAAGGCTTGGAAGGGAGTGACTAACAGGACCTTGAACTCTGCTTGGAGGAAATTGTGGCCACAATGTGTAGAAGAGAGGGATTTTGAAGGGTTTGTGGCTAACCCTGAGAAGCCTATGCCAGTTATGGAATCTATTGTGGCATTGGGGAAGTCCATGGGGTTGGAGGTTAGTGGGGAAGATGTGGAGGAGTTGGTGGAGGACGACGATGAAGAACTAGCCACTGATGAGCTGCAAGAGCATCTGCAACAGCAAGAGGACACAACTGAGGAAATTGCTTCAGAGGAGGGGAAAGAGAAATGGAGGAAGTTGCCTTCTTCAAAGATTAAGGAAATTTGTACAAAGTGGGTTGACATGCAAACCTTTATGGATGAAAATCACCCTGACACAGCTATTGCAAGCTGTGCAGGTGGCTTTTACAGTGACAATGTTGTGGCCCATTTTAGGAAAATCTTAAAGGAACACGAGGTACAGAGCTCTGTGGAAAGATTTTCGGTGCGACAAAGGTCCAGTGACTCTCAAGTTGTTCTGAGTGGCATTGAAAAAAGAAGGGAAGTAACCCCGGAAAGGACTTGGTACCTAAAGTCCTTATGAAAGGGGATTCCCCTTCCAAAAAAAATACACCTCCATATCCCCTCCTGCCATCTCATCACCCATCACTGCATCTTCAACAAAGGTAAGTGTCACTTATTCTTCATTTAGTACAGTATTTATTGTGCATGTATCCTTCTTTTTCTGTGTAGGAAAATGTATATTTCATGTGAATTTTTTTTTTTCATACTTTTGGGTGTCTGGAACAGATTAATTGCATTTCCATTATTTCTTATGGGGAAAATTAATTCGACTAACGATAAATTCAACTAACAACAAGCTGTCTGGAACGGATTAATATCGTTGGTTGAGGGTCCACTGTACACTTGTTTGCTGTATTGAAATGTTATCTTCTTTATTAAGTTTTTTTATGCTATAATGTTACAATAGTCTATAAATTTCTCATTACATGTTTGGAAGCCTCAGCAACTAAGCTGGGTTTCTGTTTACACTGTTTTCTTTTATTGTACTGTAGTCCTAGCCTGATGTTTGAGTTACTCTACTGTGACTGTTCATTATTAATGAATAAATAAATTTATACAGCACTTTGTATAAAATATATTTTTCAGCACCAAGAAAGTATTCGGACAGCTCTTATACACGTGGATGTGGCAAAGGAATTGTCAACATGGGTAGCTATTCACAAAACACTGCAAACGCCTCCTATACCCTTGGTGTACACACCTATTGCTCGCTCCTCTCTTAACACACCTTCAGCCTCCTTTTCAACATCAGCTCGATCTACGCTTACAGGTTAGTGATGTTATTATATACAACTTATGGCTTAGAGATTTTAAAGAATCCATGAGGGTTTGTACATAAAGTAGCTGGGATCAATTCCCAGGGAAATGTGACATATATGCAAGTTCCATAGACTTGCTGCCCCTGTTCACCTAACAGTAAATGAGTACAGTACCTGGGTGTGAGTTGGTTGCTATCAGTCATTCGTGGGGAAAAGGGTAGTGCTACTATAGTTTAGATTAGACTGGGCTTTTAAATTAAATGATGTAAAGTATATATGTACAGTGCAGTAAACCCCTAATAATAAATTTATTTGGATCATTCAGTGCTACTGTGCTGTTTATATACTCTTAGGACTTAATATCTGTCATATGCAAAGACTACTGGTACAGTACAGTACTGTTTTGTTATATATTGGTGCATGTGTCACTTTATGGAAGGCAAAAATATTTTGTACAAAATAAGAAGATAAGAAGACCTAAAAAATTGTACAATGAAAATAGATTACATAACATCAAAGGTGATATGAAAAAAACCTAGAAAACTCTATCTGAAATTCTTGAAACTAAAAAGTTATCCAAAAACAAAACAATCAAACTAACAAAATCAGACGAACCCCTACTCACACCAACTGAAACAGCAAACAGACTCAATGTTTTTTTCTCCACCATAGGAAAAAATCTAGCGAACAAAATACCAAGCTCAAACACCCGTCCATCAGACTACCTCATAGGTACCTACCCAAATACCCTATTCCTAGCACCAACCAACCCACTAGAAGTTTCGCTCATCATCAACACCCTTAAAAACAAGGCAGGTGACATAAAAAACTTGCCTGCTTTTATGTACAAAAAAGCTTCTCAAGTATTGTCACCAATTATTGCAACACTCTTTAACAAATCCATTGAATCATCTACCTTCCCAACAATCCTCAAAATAGCGAGGGTCACTCCAATCCATAAAGGAGGTGACCAAGCTGACTTGAATAACTCTAGACCAATATCTAACTTACCACTGCTCTCTAAAATCTTTGAAAAATTAATTCATAGATGGATCTATTCCTACCTCGTCTCACACAACATATTAAACCCTTAGACACGAACATCTCTATGACATTCCCCGTGTCCGACTAAACCTTTACAAAAATTCATTGTACATGTATTTCAAAGGACCTAAAATCTGGAACACCCTACCTGAAAACTCTAGAACTGCAGATACACTCATCACTTTCAAAACTACAGTTAGAAAACATATCTCCCTGATACACCCTCCCTGACAACTAACTAAATGCTAACCACCTGGTGGTTCACAGTTACACTCACTCACCCACTGACTATAAACACAGAAATACTAATCTTAATCTTAAAATAGTGAATCCTAACTAGTCATAAGTTTGCCTATGATACTCCAATATAGACACTTTGTATTATGCTAAAACAAAAACATTCACATTGATAAATTCACAAATTATAATGTAGTCACCTAGCCTTAATACCATAATCTGTAAGAATTTAATGTTAAGAATTAATCTAAGTCTGCCCGAAATGCCTAGCCATGCTAGGTGTCCTAGTGGCTCCCTCTGTAATTAGTATTTTATAACATGTAAACCACACAATATCCAAATCCTGTAAACCCCACATTGTAACCTTTTTTTTTTTTTTTTTTTTCTTTTCTTTTTTTTTCAACAAGTCGGTCGTCTCCCACCGAGGCAGGGTGACCCATAAAAAAGAAAGAAAAATCCCCAAAAAGAAAATACTTTCATCATCATTCAACACTTTCACCACACTCACACATTATCACTGCTTTTGCAGAGGTGCTCAGAATACAACATTTAGAAGCATATACGTATAGAGATACACAACATATCCCCCAAACTGCCAATATCCCAAACCCCTCCTTAAAGTGCAGGCATTGTACTTCCCATTTCCAGGACTCAAGTCCGACTATATGAAAAATAACCGGTTTCCCTGAATCCCTTCACTAAATATTACCCTGCTCACACTCCAACAGATTGTCAGGTCCCAAGTATCATACGTCTCCATTCACTCCTATCTAACACGCTCATGCACGCTTGCTGGAAGTCCAAGCCCCTCACCCACAAAACCCCTTTCGAGGACGACCCCTACCCCTCTTCCTTCCCCTATAGATTTATATGCTTTCCATGTCATTCTACTTTGATCCATTCTCTCTAAATGACCAAACCACCTCAACAACCCCTCTTCTGCCCTCTGACTAATGCTTTATTAACTCCACACCTTCTCCTAATTTCCACACTCCGAATTTTCTGCATAATATTTACACCACACATTGCCCTTAGACAGGACATCTCCACTGCCTCCAACCGTCTCCTCGCTGCTGCATTTACCACCCAAGCTTCACATCCATATAAGAGTGTTGGTACCACTATACTTTCATACATTCCCTTCTTTGCCTCCATAGATAACGTTTTTGACTCCACATATACCTCAACGCACCACTCACCTTTTTTCCCTCATCAATTCTAAAGATTAACCTCATCCTTCATAAATCCACCCGCCGACACGTCAACTCCCAAGTATCTGAAAACATTCACTTCTTCCATACTCCTCCTCCCCAATTTGATATCCAATTTTTCTTTATCTAAATCATTTGATACCCTCATCACCTTGCTCTTTTCTATGTTCACTTTCAACTTTTCTACCTTTACACACATTCTCAAACTCATCCACTAACCTTTCCAATTTTTCTTTAGAATCTCCCATAAGCACAGTATCATCAGCAAAAAGTAACTGTGTCAATTCCCATTTTGAATTTGATTCCCCATAATTTAATCCCACCCCTCTCCTGAACACCCTAGCATTTACTTCTTTTACAACCCCATCTATAAATATATTAAACAACCATGGTGACATTACACATCCCTGTCTAAGACCTACTTTTACCGGGAAGTATTCTCCCTCTCTTCTACACACCCTAACCTGAGCCTCACTATCCTCATAAAAGCTCTTTACAGCATTTAGTAACTTACCACCTATTCCATATACTTGCAACATCTGCCACATTGCTCCTCTATCCACTCTATCATATGCCTTTTCTAAATCCATAAATGCAATAAAAACTTCCCTACCTTTATCTAAATACTGTTCACATATATGCTTCAATGTAAACACTTGATCTACACATCCCCTACCCACTCTGAAGCCTCCTTGCTCGTCCGCAATTCTACATTCTGTCTTACCTCTAATTCTTTCAATTATAACCCTACCGTATACTTTTCCTGGTATACTCAGTAAACTTATTCCTCTATAATTTTTTACAATCTCTTTTGTCCCCTTTCCCTTTATATAAAGGGACTATACATGCTTCTCCGCCAATCCCTAGGTACCTTCCCCTCTTTCATACATTTATTAAACAAAAGTACCAACCACTCCAACACTATATCCCCCCTGCTTTTAACATTTCTGTCATGATCCCATCAGTTCCAGCTGCTTTACCCCCTTTCATTCTACGTAATGCCTCACGTACCTCCACCACACTTACATTCTGCTCTTCTCACTCCTAAAAGATGGTAATACCTCCCTGGCCAGTGCATGAAATTACCGCCTCCCTTTCTTCCTTAACATTTAAAAGTTCCTCAAAATATCTCGCCATCTACCTAATACCTCCCTCTCCCCATCTACTAACTCCCTACTCTGTTTTTAACTGACAAATCCATACTTTCCCTAGGCTTTCTTAACTTGTTTAACTCACTCCAAAATTTTTTCTTATTTTCATTAAAATTTCTTGACAGTGCCTCTCCCACTCTTTCATCTGCTCTCCTTTTGCACTCTCTCACCACTCTCTTCACCTTCTTTTACTCTCCATATACTCTGCTCTTCTTATAACACTTCTGCTTTGTAAAAACCTCTCGTAAGCTACCTTTTTCTCTTTTATCACACCTCTTTACTTCATCATTCCACCAATCACTCCTCTTTCCTCCTGCCCCCACCCTCCTATAACCACAAACTTCTGCCCCACATCCCAATACTGCATTTTTAAAACTATTCCAACCCTCTTCAACCCCCCCACTACTCATCTTTGCACTAGCCCACCTTTCTGCCAATAGTCGCTTATATCTCGCCCGAACTTCCTCCTCCATTAGTTTATACACTTTCACCTCCCTCTTACTTGTTGTTGCCACCTTCCTCTTTTCCCATCTACCTCTTACTCTAACTGTAGCTACAACTAAATAATGATCCGATATATCAGTTGCCCCTCTATAAACATGTACATCCTGAAGCCTACCCATCAACCTTTTATCCACCAATACATAATCTAACAAACTACTTTCATTACGTGCTACATCATACCTTGTATATTTTTTTATCCTCTTTTTCATAAAATATGTATTACTTATTACCAAATTTCTTTCTACACATAGCTCAATTAAAGGCTCCCCATTTACTTTACCCCTGGCACCCCAAATTTACCTACTACTCCCTCCATAATTTTTTTTAAACCCCACTTTAGCATTGAAAATCCCCAACCACCATTACTCTCACACTTTTTTCAAAACTCCCCACGCATTCACTCAACATTTCCCAGAATCTCTCTCTCTCCTCTACACTTCTCTCTTCTCCAGGTGCATAAAACGCTTACTATAACCCACTTTTCACATCCAATCTTTATTTTACTCCACATAATCCTTGAATTTATACTTTTTGTAGTCCCTCTTTCTGCCATAGCTTATCCTTCAACATTATTGCACTCCTTTTTAAAGCTCTAACTCTATTTGAAACCCCTGACCTAATCCCATTTATTCCTCTCCATTGAAACTCTCCCACCCCCTTCAGCTTTGTTTCACTTAAAGCCAGGACATCCAGTTTCTTCTCATTCATAACATCCACAATCATCTCTTTCTTATCATTTGCACAACATCCACGCACATTCAGACTTCCCACTTTGACAATTTTCTTCTTCTTATTCTTTTTAGTAATCTTTACAGGAAAAGGGGTTACTAGCCCATTGTTCCCGGCATTTTAGTTGACTTTTACAACACGCATGGCTTAGGGAGGAAAGATTCTTATTCCACTTCCCCATGGATGTAAAAAGGAAAAGTAATAAGACCAAGAACTATTAAGATAAAATCAAAGAAAACTCAGATGAGTGTGTATAAATAAACGTGTACATGTATGTGTAGTGTGACCTAAGTGTAAGTAGAAGTAGCAAGACGTACCTGTAATCTTGCATATTTATGATACAGACAAAAGACACCAGCAATCCTACCATCATGTAAAACAATTACAGGCTTTCGTTTTACACTCACTTGGCAGGACGGTAGTACCTCCCTGGGTGGTTGCTGTCTACCAACCTACTACCTAGAATTGTAACCCTTATAGAGAATAAACTTGAATTGAAATTGAATTATCAGTTTGGATTCAGGAATAATAAAAGCACAAATGATGCTATCATACACATGCTAGAACTAATATATACCACACTCGAAAAGAAAAAAGTCCCACTGGGCATTTTCATTGATTTACGTAAAGCTTTTAATACAGTCAACCATGAACTGCTGTACTCCAAATTAATGCACTATGGTATCAGAGGCCACTCCCTCAACTACTTAAAGTCAAAACTTAGTAACATACTCGATATGTGTATGCAAATGGTGCAAACTCTTCCACCCAACCAATCACAGTAGGAGTCCCACAAGGAAGTGTCCTTGGACCACACTTCTTTGTCATCTACATCAATGATCTACCGAATGCATCACAGCTACTCAAACCCATATTATTTGCAGATAACACAACATATGTCTTCTCCCACCCAAACCCAGTCATACTAGCAAACACTGTGAATGCTAAATTGCAGAAAATGTCTGCCTGGATGATGACTAATAAACTTACCCTGAATACTGATAAAGCATATTTCATTCAGTTTGGAAAAATAGCTGCAAATCATCCAATTAACATTACACTAAATGGATCATCTGCCACAAGACTTACAGAGGGAAAATTCCTAGGTATCCACCTTGACAGTAGCCTTAAGTTCCAGACACACATACAACAAGTCACCAAGAAAATCTCTAAAACTGCAGGTATACTATTAAAGATAAGGTACTATGTTCCACAATCAGCTCTCCTGGCACTGTACCATTCACTCATATACCCTTATCTCACCTATGGAATTTGTGCATGGGGATCAACAACATTCAGTCACCTAAGACCTCTAATAACCCAGCAAAAGGCAGCAGTCAGAATGATAACAAATTCCCACTCCCGCCAGCATACTCCACCAAGTCTGAAGCTGCTCACCATTAAGAACATCCATACTTATTCATGTGCCTACTACATACACAGAGAGCAATACACGCAAATATAAACCCTCCACTCAAACTTCTCACCAACCTTAGCAGGACACATGACCAAAACACAAGACACAGATCTCTTTTTGATATACCTCGTGTCCATATCACACTGTGTAAAAACTCTATGCACATAAAGGGCCCTAAAATTTGGAAGTCATTACCAGAAGATACTAAAGTAACCCGGTTTGAAAATCAATTTATGACTCTTCTCAAAAGCCACTTAATCACCCTAGACTATATGCTGAATACTCAGTACACACATACTTATGTATTCCCACATCATAATTTCAACAATTACATTGAACCCTTTATCCACTGTTGACAGGAATATAATTGAATCATTGTTTTCACAAAAAACATTTTTGAATCATTGTTTTCACAAAAAACATTTTTTGAATATATGAATATATCTTTTGTCTTATACAGTATAAATTAGATTCACTTATAATTAATAATCTACTGTACAACTATGATATAATTAATATTCTACTGTATAACTATGATATAATTCTTAGTGTTAAGTAGTTTGTAAGCCAATAATGTTAAGTTGGCCCATAATGCCTAAGCATAATAGAGGCTCTCTTTGCATTGCAACCCATTATTGTAAATACAAAATCTCAATGTATTATTTCCAAAGACATAAATAAATAAATAAATAAATAAATAAATAAATAAAATAAATTTACTATTTATGATAAAAAATGTGCAGTACATTACAGTAAACTACTACTTTGAACACTGATGTGGAGCAGTGACATTTGAAATAGTTTATACAAATAACTTAAAAAATTATTCTAATCAGTATGGACATTGTTCATCATCCCATGTTGTCCATTATACTATAATATTCATATGGCGATAATTCAGACAATACGTGAATAAGAATATGACACTATCAACAGAGGTGTCTGAAGACAGTGACAGTAGTGGTAGGTCAAGTCCCATACCACTTTACAAGGCTAGGGCACTCTACCAGTTCTCTGCTCGGGTGAGTTGCCATATCACACTAATGTATTCTTCAGTATGACAGTAAAATGTGTCCATACATATGCCTGCTAATTACTTAGCTTAAATACTGTACTTGTTTAGAATAAAATGACTTGAAAAGTATTCATAGGCATATGTATTTTGTAATTCTTGCCATTGAATCTCATGCTGAGGTTGTGCATGTTATGGCTTGTCACCATGTATGCTAGTACTGTACTCAGGGTGACAGTAATTGTAATACAGTATTAAAAAATATATTAATGTTCTGACTCCCTAACAGAGCATGTTATTATATTTACAATAAGCACTGAACCCATAGTAGAGAATGTTATATAATTTAGTTAGGCTCCTTCACAGTAGAACATGATGAATAACCTTGGTGTTGGTTCTGACTAACAGTAGAGCATGATATATAACCTGGTTGTTGGTGATGACTCCAAATACAGCATGATACATAAACTGGTTATTAATACTGACTCCCAGTATGGCATGCTATATACACTGGTTATTAGTACTGACTCCCAGTATGGCATGCTATATGCACTGGTTATTAGTACTGACTCCCAGTATGGCATGCTATATACACTGGTTATTAGTACTGACTCCCAGTATGGCATGCTATATGCACTGGTTATTAGTACTGACTCCCAGTATGGCATGCTATATACACTGGCTAAAAGAGGTCAATATATCTGAAATGCGTAGAGAGACACTGGTCAGAGAAATAGCAAGCATCGAACTTAAGCTAAAAGAATCCTTTAGGAGTCAGGAATCGCGGGAAGAACTAAAAGCCATAAATGAAATCGAAAGAAACCCAAAGTATTTCTTCTATGCCAAATCAAAATCGAGAACAACGTCCAGTATTGGGCCCCTACTTAAACAAGATGGGTCCTACACAGATGACAGCAAGGAAATGAGTGAGCTACTCAAGTCCCAATATGACTCAGTTTTTAGCAAGCCGCTAACCAGACTGAGAGTCGAAGATCAAAATGAATTTTTTATGAGAGAGCCACAAAATTTGATTAACGCAAGCCTATTCAATGTTATCCTCATGCCAAATGACTTCGAACAGGCGATAAATGACATGCCCATGCACTCTGCCCCAGGGCCAGACTCATGGAACTCTGTGTTCATCAAGAACTGCAAGAAGCCCCTATCATGAGCCTTTTCCATCCTATGGAGAGGGAGCAAGGACACGGGGGTTGTCCCACAGTTACTAAAAACAACAGACATAGCCCCACTCCACAAAGGGGGCAGTAAAGCAACAGCAAAGAACTACAGACCAATAGCACTAACATCCCATATCATAAAAATCTTTGAAAGGGTCCTAAGAAGCAAGATCACCACCCATCTAGAAACCCATCAGTTACACAACCCAGGGCAACATGGGTTTAGAACAGGTCGCTCCTGTCTGTCTCATCTATTGGATCACTACAACAAGGTCCTAAATGCACTAGAAGACAAAAAGAATGCAGATGTAATATATACAGACTTTGCAAAAGCCTTCGACAAGTGTGACCATGGCGTAATAGCGCACAAAATGCGTGCTAAAGGAATAACAGGAAAAGTCAGTCGATGGATCTATAATTTCCTCACTAACAGAACACAGAGAGTAGTCGTCAACAGAGTAAAGTCCGAAGCAGCTACGGTGAAAAGCTCTGTTCCACAAGGCACAGTACTCACTCCCATCTTGTTCCTCATCCTCATATCCGACATAGACAAGGATGTCAGCCACAGCACCGTGTCTTCCTTTGCAGATGACACCCGAATCTGCATGACAGTGTCTTCCATTGCAGACACTGCAAGGCTCCAGGCGGACATCAACCAAATCTTTCAGTGGGCTGCAGAAAACAATATGAAGTTCAACGATGAGAAATTTCAATTACTCAGATATGGTAAACATGAGGAAATTAAATCTTTTTCAGAGTACAAAACAAATTCTGGCCACAAAATAGAGCGAAACACCAACGTCAAAGACCTGGAGTGATCATGTCGGAGGATCTCACCTTCAAGGACCATAACATTGTATCAATCGCATCTGCTAGAAAAATGACAGGATGGATAATGAGAACCTTCAAAACTAGGGAGGCCAAGCCCATGATGACACTCTTCAGGTCACTTGTTCTATCTAGGCTGGAATATTGCTGCACACTAACAGCACCTTTCAAGGCAGGTGAAATTGCCGACCTAGAAAATGTACAGAGAACCTTCACGGCGCGCATAACGGAGATAAAACACCTCAATTACTGGGAGCGCTTGAGGTTCCTAAACCTGTATTCCCTGGAACGCAGGAGGGAGAGATATACGATTATATACACCTGGAAAATCCTAGAGGGACTAGTACCGAACTTGCACACGAAAATCACTCACTACGAAAGCAAAAGACTTGGCAGACGATGCACCATCCCCCCAATGAAAAGCAGGGGTGTCACTAGCACGTTAAGAGACCATACAATAAGTGTCAGGGGCCCGAGACTGTTCAACTGCCTCCCAGCACACATAAGGGGGATTACCAACAGACCCCTGGCAGTCTTCAAGCTGGCACTGGACAAGCACGTAAAGTCAGTTCGTGATCAGCCGGGCTGTGGCTCGTACGTTGGTTTGCGTGCAGCCAGCAGCAACAGCCTGGTTGATCAGGCTCTGATCCACCAGGAGGCCTGGTCACAGACCGGCTGCGGGGGCGTTGACCCCCGGAACTCTCTCCAGGTAAACTCCAGGTAAACTGACTCCCAGTATGGCATGCTATATACACTGGTTATTAGTACTGACTCCCAGTATGGCATGCTATATACACTGGTTGTTAGTACTGACTCCCAGTATGGCATGCTATATGCATTGGTTATTAGTACTGACTCCCAGTATGGCATGCTATATACACTGGTTGTTAGTACTGACTCCCAGTATGGCATGCTATATGCATTGGTTTTAGTACTGACTCCCAGTATGGCATGCTATATACATGGTTGTTAGTACTGACTCCCAGTATGGCATGCTATATACACTGGTTGTTAGTACTGACTCCCAGTATGGCATGCTATATACACTGGTTATTAGTACTGACTCCCAGTATGGCATGCTATATACACTGGTTGTTAGTACTGACTCCCAGTATGGCATGCTATATGTATACACTGGTTATTAGTACTGACTCCCAGTATGGCATGCTATATACACTGGTTGTTATACTGACTCCCAGTATGGCATGCTATATACACTGGTTTTAGTACTGACTCCCAGTATGGCATGCTATATACACTGGTTGTTAGTACTGACTCCCAGTATGGCATCTTATCCTGGTTGTTAGTACTGACTCCCAGTAGGCATGCTATATGTATACATTGGTTGTTAGTACTGACTCCCAGTATGGCATGCTATATACACTGGTTGTTAGTACTGACTCCCAGTATGGCATGCTATATACACTGGTTGTTAGTACTGACTCCCAGTGTGGCATGCTATATACACTGGTTATTAATACTGACTCCCAGTGTGGCATGCTATATACACTGGTTGTTAGTACTGACTCCCAGTGTAGCATGCATATACAACTGGTTATTAATACTGACTCCCGTGTGGCATGCTATATACATGGTTATTATACTGATCCATGTGCATGCTATATAAACTGGTTGTTAGTACTGACTCCCGGTAGCATGCTGAACCACTGGTTTATTAAATACGAACTCCCAGTGTTGTCACATATATACACTGGTTTTTAGTACAAGACCCATATGCATGCGTATATACATGTTGATAGCTGACACCTGTACAGCAGCTTGTACAAACTGAGTGTATAGTGGTGACCCCCTACAAAACTTCACCTAGTTGTTGGTGCAGACCTTGGTTAAGCATGCGATATAAACTGATTTCCGATGCTGTTCCACGACAGCATTTATATAAACTGTTATTAGTGCTGCACTCCTACACAGTAGACCCTCGTTTCGACACAACGAATCTAATTTCACAAATTATAATGTATGTGACAAACATGACTGCGAATCTCATGACTAGCAAAATAGTCGTTCGTGCAAACGTAATGAGCGGCGAGCGCCCCCTACACACACGTTCACAGTCAGTGTGCATTGTTTTAGCGAGTGACATGATCCATGGTTCACACGATAATGTCGTATATTCCGTTCGGTTGTAGTGCTTGCAACTGCTAATAAGCCACCACAGGCCCAAAGAAAGCTAGTGCAGCTTGGTAAAGAGGTGCAACACGATAGAATAAGAAAGTTGTAGAAAAATACGAAAGGGTGGGTAGTGATGATGGTAGAGGGGTGATAGTGGAGTGGTGGGTGAGGGTAGGGTAGTAGTAGTGAAGGAGAGAGTTTGTGTAGAATGTGAGAGGGGCAGGATATGAAAGAATTTCCTGGAGGGACATCACCCTAACAAAGCTGTTGCAAGCCATGTCACCAACATGTATAATTTTAAAGAGATGCCAGAAACAGAGCTCTCTAGCCAGATATTTAGTGCCACAGATGTGCAGTGGCTCTCAAGCTGGTCCTAGTGGCACTAAAAAACAAAGAAGGGAGGTAACCCCAGAAAAGGACTTGGTACCTGAAGTCTTTATGGACAGGGATTCCCCTTCCAAACAATAATTTCTCCATCTTCCATACACTAAGAACAATCTTCAATAAAGGTAAGTGTCATGCTATTATTGTTTTATTCTTTATGTCTCATTGTTTTCTGTGTATGTACATCTATATTTATTTTTTTTATTTTTATTATCACACTGGCCGATTCCCACCAAGGCAGGGTGGCCCGAAAAAGAAAAACTTTCACCATCATTCACTCCATCACTGTCTTGCCAGAAGGGTGCTTTACACTACAGTTTTTAAACTGCAACATTAACACCCCTCCTTCAGAGTGCAGGCACTGTACTTCCCATCTCCAGGACTCAAGTCCGGCCTGCCGGTTTCCCTGAACCCCTTCATAAATGTTACTTTGCTCACACTCCAACAGCACGTCAAGTATTAAAAACCATTTGTCTCCATTCACTCCTATCAAACACGCTCACGCATGCCTGCTGGAAGTCCAAGCCCCTCGCACACAAAACCTCCTTTACCCCCTCTCTCCAACCTTTCCTAGGCCGACCCCTACCCCACCTTCCTTCCACTACAGACTGATACACTCTTGAAGTCATTCTGTTTCGCTCCATTCTCTCTACATGTCCGAACCACCTCAACAACCCTTCCTCAGCCATCTGGACAACAGTTTTGGTAATCCCGCACCTCCTCCTAACTTCCAAACTATGAATTCTCTGCATTATATTCAAACCACACATTGCCCTCAGACATGACATCTCCACTGCCTCCAGCCTTCTCCTCGCTGCAACATTCATCACCCATGCTTCACACCCATATAAGAGCGTTGGTAAAACTATACTCTCATACATTCCCCTCTTTGCCTCCAAGGACAAAGTTCTTTGTCTCCACAGACTCCTAAGTGCACCACTCACTCTTTTCCCCTCATCAATTCTATGATTCACCTCATCTTTCATAGACCCATCCGCTGACACGTCCACTCCCAAATATCTGAATACATTTATTTATTTATTATTTATTTATTTATTATAAATTTGTGCACACATACAGAGGTACAAAAAAAATACAGATAAGAGCAGTATGCCAAAGCCACTTATACTATGCAAAGCATTACGGGCTGGCTTAAAATTAACTTAAGATTAACTAAGCAATGATGAAGTCAGTGATAAAACATTAATGTAAACAGATTACTATAAAGCACAAGTGAGTATTACAAAGACAGGTCATATGAAGGATTCTGTTAGGTAGTGTATTTAAAAAATAATAAAGTTAGATTGGGTTTTAGGTTTAACATTTATGTGATATAATTGTGAGAAACATTTAAGATATACAATTTATAAGGTTCAGTTATTCAGTATTTATTTGGTTTTGGGTGAGTAAGTGATCTTTGAGTAGAGACTTGAATTTATAAACAGGTAGTGTTTCTTTTATATTTACAGGTAATGAATTCCAGATTTTAGGGCCTTTTATGTGCATTGAGTTTTTGCATAGTGTGAGATGAACACGAGGAACATCAAAGAGTGATCTGTGCCTTGTGTTATGGTCATGTGTTCCCTCCAATCTGATATTCAATCTTTCATCACCTAATCTTTTTGTTATCCTCATAACCTTACTCTTTCCTGTATTCACCTTTAATTTTCTTCTTTTGCACACCCTACCAAATTCATCCACCAATCTCTGCAACTTCTCTTCAGAATCTCCCAAGAGCACAGCGTCATCAGCAAAGAGCAACTGTGACAACTCCCACTTCATGTGTGATTCTTTATCTTTTAACTCCACGCCTCTTGCCAAGACCCTCGCATTTACTTCTCTTACAACCCCATCTATAAATATATAAATATATTTGTACCTCTGTATGTGTGCACAAATTGGAAATAAATAAATAAATAAATAAATTAAACAACCACGGTGACATCTATATATCACGTAAAAAAGTGATTTTGTTTTAATACTTCTGGGTGTCTGGAATGGATTAATTGGATTTACATTATTTCTTATGGGGAAAATGGTTTCGCAAATCGTCAATTTCACCATTAGTCGCACTCTCTGGAATGGATTAATTGCGAAAAGCGAGGGTCCACTGTACTTTGAAACCTGGTTGTTGGTGCTGACTCCCAGTACAGCATGCTGTATAAACTGGGCATTGGTGCTGATTCCCAGTTCATTATACTATACGGTTTGCATGTTATTTTTTTTATTCAAAGGATACATCAGTCTCCTTATTTTATTTATCTATGTTTTAAGTATTTCATTTTGTTTATCTATGTTTTAAGTATGTTAAACAGGCAAACACAGATGTTAATTAAGTACATTATGATGACCCTTTTTTCTTAATAATAATTAGTTTTTGACTAAATTACAGAACTACAGTGCCTGTGTGGTTGTGTTGCAGAGTGAAAGTGAAGTGTCACTTACAGAGGGTCAGTCCCTAGTAGTCATGGACGTGTGCAATGCAGAATGGAGTCTGGTGAGAACCAACACTGGTGTCTTGGCTTTTGTACCTTCAAAGTTCATCACTGCTGCTCCTGTTTCTACATAGAAACCTTCATGCTGCTGGTAGTATTTTTTGAGATAATGTACCTTAAAATGCATAGTAGTATTTACTAATAGCATTTATATATGTTAATACAGAATAGTATATGTATAATCACCTAGGCAGTATAACATGCATGTATGATTACCTGTTTGTAACTACAGGAGCAGATCTAAGCTCATGGTGTCCCATTGTCATTTTGTTGTAAAGCTTTTTAAAGTTTTCAATGGCTGTAACACTTAACATCTCCTCATGTAATCCATTCCAATATACTCTCACCAGCAATTTTTCCTTTGGTTTTAGTTATGTCCCCTTGTTCTGTCAGCTGATGATGGTTAGAAAGTCTGTTCCATATCAGCTATTCCATATCCTTTTATAATCTTCAGTTTAGTTAGCATGTTTCCTCTTTTTTTTTCCCTCCTAGCAGCCAGAGATGACACATTTAGTACCTTCAGCCTTTCTTCATAACTTATAATTTTTATCTCTTGCAGCTATTTTGTAACTCATCTTTGAGCATTTTCTATATTGATTTTTTTTTTAGATGCAGACACCATGCCACCAGGTACACCATGCACACCTAAATGTTACCCATCACTGTATCATGCTGCAACAAAGAATCTTAGTCTTGAATTTCCTCGGAAGTAAAATATTTGTTCCCCTCCCCCCAAGTCATATGGTTTCATTATTGGAAGGAGTGACATCATTTCATAACTACTTTTCTTAAACTATACAGTGACAATTCCTACACACTCTTTCTTGATTGTAAAGCTGCCTTGGATATTGCTGACATGTTATCACATGTGAACCAGCCAGAACTGATGTATAGTGAATGACATTTCTGCTGGAGCAAAGGCAACCTGTTAAACAGAAAGTTCTTCTGCTCTTCCAGGGTCATAACTATAAAGACTTGTAAAGAGGCAACCTAAAAGATGGTGTCCTCAGTCCCACCTTCTTTAACATTCCATTAAATTTCTTACTAAATTCTATGGCTATACAAACTAGTGTGATTTTATAATGATATTTATGATTCTATAATGGTTCACACCAAATGCTATATCAAACATTCTCAATATCTTCACCATGTAGTACTAGATTTGTGTCAAAACTTTGGTTTAAAGGTTTCATTCCATGATCTACAGAACATTGTAACCCCAGCCTATGTACATGTATAGTATATGATCTTTTGTATTTTTCTGTAGACTTTAAAAAGATTATATAGCTAATTATTATTTAAATAAATTCTCCCTCCTGTACAGTATTGTGGTGAAGAGTAGCTCAGTGGTGAGACTGTTAGCTCACAATTGAAAGGTTTTGGTTTTAATTCTGGGTTGGTGCAAGTTTGTTTACACCCTTGCTGCATCTGCATCTGTTGACTGCTGTGCAAATGTGTAAGAACACTCCAGTTCTGCAAAACACATGCAAGAGTCAGGTAAAAGGTATCCAACTAATTGCATTGTATCTATTGATATTAATAAAAAGTCTCCCCATATTGTGTTTTGTTAGGTATTCCTGAAGGAGGACATATTAGGGTGCCTCAGTTATTTTTTTCCTTTCTTTATCTTTTTTATTTTATTTTGCTCATAACTTGAGAATGCCTCCTTAAATCTGCTTAAAATATTCAACACTTGTGTACAATAATGAGGTCCAAATTCTTGGAACTGGCATATTCATGTGCCCTATGACCAAATGCATAGGTGCAGATTTGACCATTTTATGTAGTGTGAAATTTTTATCCTTGATGAATCACTAGTGTGGTTTCTTGAACATATGGCTTACACTGCTGTTGGGTGGCATAAATCCCAGTTTGCTAGGTTAACTGAGTAAATAGTCATAGTCATTTTTTGTTTAAAAACTAAATGCTTCAGAATGGCCTCAAAATAGTACTGAGGATACATTCTATAATAAGGATAACCCAAAAGATTAATTCAGATAGGTGCAAATTTGATATTTTACTGAAATAGTTAAAAACTTATCATAAGAACCAAATCTATTACAGAAGAATGCCTTCTCTGATCTTCATTTGAACTTTATTGACTTAAGACTTAGGGAGATTGACACAAGTCAGTCCATCTATTATCATTCCATCATGCAGGCAGAGCCACATGTCTATGGTGCATCCAACACGATAAGAAGACTCTTGGATGTCCTTACTGTCCAGCTCCGGCTAGGTTACAAGTATCTTTGGCAAGTTAAATCACCACCACCAGATGTAGACCAAACAAAATGTAAACTTTACCAGATGGACTATTGTCACACATTGCGTCATTATGTACTGGAGTGCGATAAAATTAATGAATTTAGAGACAACTCACTCAGAAATGTTCAAGAAATGGCAAAGTATTTTATCCATAGTGGTATATTACAGATCATTCTGGAGAAATACCCTGACTTTGCTAGCTGTAAATAAAGCATTACCACGTGTGTGTGTACGCATGCGTGCTTGTGTGTGCATGTGGCTGTGTGTGTGCCCTTGTGGGTGTATGTGTGTGCTCACTCGTGTGTGTGCATGCACTCGTGTGGGTGCATGATCCACTTAATATTTGTATTTATAACTCATTACAATTGTGACCGAGTGTGGACGTGTCAGTGGCTCATTACTTTGTAATTTGTTCATGATTGTAACCATGTATAGGAATGTAAATGGTTCATTACCTTTGTAATTTGCCATGATTGTGCCCAGATCTACCTGGAGGTTATTACCTATGTAACTAGTTCAAATATCATAACTTTGGGGTCCAGTCCCTGGACCCATTATATACCTCTGTAATCTTTTGACATCCACCCACAGGATGGGTATGGGGTGCATAATAAAATTAAACTAACTGTATTTTTTTTTATTATCACACTGGCCGATTCCCACCAAGGCAGGGTGGCCCGAAAAAGAAAAACTTTCACCATCATTCACTCCATCACTGTCTTGCCAGAAGAGTGCTTTACACTACAGTTTTTGAACATTAAAATGGTATAAAATACCGACAGGTTGTTAGGTAAGACACACATGCAACAGTTAGGTATCTTTATTTCGAAACGTTTCGCCTACACTGTAGGCTTCTTCAGTCTAGTACAGAAAAGTTGATAGAAGCAGAAGAGACTTGAAGACGATGTAATCAGTCCATCACCCTTAAAATTTTTGAGGTGGTCAGTCCTTCAGTCTGGAGAAGAGCATTGTTCCGTAGTCTGAGTTATTGTTTCAGACTACGGAACAATGCTCTTCTCCAGACTGAGGGACTGACCACCTCAAAACTTTAAGGGTGATGGACTGATTACATCGTCTTCAAGTCTCTTCTGCTTCTATCAACTTTTCTGTACTCGACTGAAGAAGCCTACTGTGTAGGCGAAACTTTTCGAAATAAAGATACCTAACTGTTGCATATGTGTCTTACCACTACAGTTTTTAAACTGCAACATTAACACCCCTCCTTCAGAGTGCAGGCACTGTACTTCCCATCTCCAGGACTCAAGTCCGGCATGCCGGTTTCCCTGAACCCCTTCATAAATGTTACTTTGCTCACACTCCAACAGCACATCAAGTATTAAAAACCATTTGTCTCCATTCACTCCTATCAAACACGCTCACGCATGCCTGCTGGAAGTCCAAGCCCCTCACACACAAAACCTCCTTTACCCCCTCCCTCCAACCTTTCCTATACCGACCCCTACCCCGCCTTCCTTCCACTAAGTTAATTTTAAGCCAGCCCGTAATGCTATGCATAGTATAAGTGGCTTTGGCATACTGCTCTTATCTGTATTTTTTTGTACCTCTGTATGTGTGCTCAAATTGGAAATAAATAAATAAATAAATAAATAAATAAGTCACTCTGTTTCGCTCCATTCTCTCTACATGTCCGAACCATCTCAACAACCCTTCCTCAGCAATCTGGACAACAGTTTTGGTAATCCCGCACCTCCTCCTAACTTCCAAACTACGAATTCTCTGCATTATATTCACACCACACACTGCCCTCAGACATGACATCACTGCCTCCAGCCTTCTCCTCGCTGCAACATTCATCACCCATGCTTCACACCCATATAAGAGTGTTGGTAAAACTATATTCTCATACATTCCCCTCTTTGCCTCCAAGGACAAAGTTCTTTGTCTCCACAGACTCCTAAGTGCACCACTCACCCTTTTCCCCTCATCAATTCTATGATTCATCTCATCTTTCATAGAGCCATCCGCTGACACATCCACTCCCAAATATCTGAATACATTCACCTCCTCCATACTCTCTCCCTCCAATCTGATATCCAATCTTTCATCACCTAATCTTTTTGTTATCCTCATAACCTTACTCTTTCCTGTATTCACTTTTAATTTTCTTCTTTTGCACACCCCAACCAAATTCATCCACCAATCTCTGCAACTTCTCTTCAGAATCTCCCAAGAGCACAGTGTCATCAGCAAAGAGCAACTGTGACAACTCCCATTTTATGTGTGATTCTTTATCTTTTAACTCCATGCCTCTTGCCAAGACCCTCGCATTTACTTCTCTTTACAACCCCATCTATAAATATATTAAACAACCACGGTGACATCACACATCCTTGTCTAAGGCCTACTTTTACTGGGAAATAATCTCCATCTTTCCTACATACTCTAACTTGAGCCTCACTATCCTCGTAAAAAACTCTTCACTGCTTTCAGTAACCTACCTCCTACACCATACACCTGCAACATCTGCCACATTGCCCCCCTATCCACCCTGTCATACACCTTTTCCAAATCCATAAATGCCACAAAAACCTCTTTAGCCTTATCTAAATACTGTTCACTTACATGTTTCACTGTAAACACCTGGTCCACACACCCCCTACCTTTCCTAAAGCCTCCTTGTTCATCTGCTCTCCTATTCTCCGTCTTACTCTTAATTCTTTCAATAATAACTCTACCATACATTTTACCAGGTATACTCAACAGACTTATCCCCCTATAATTTTTGCACTCTCTTTTGTCCCCTTTGCCTTTATACAAAGGAACTATGCATGCTCTCTGCCAATCCCTAGGTACCTTACAGCTTCAAATTTTTACCATAGGTGGGACTTATTAAAACAGTTTTCACTAAGTTGAGCGAGTTTCAACTGGCCAATTTTATTAAGCAAATTGTTTCCCATATAACTAGAGAATGCCTCTTCCTAATCAGCTTTGGTAAATACTGGTGTATCTTAATAGGAAGTATTTTTATATAATTTTTAACCTGTGAGGGTGTCAATTTGTCAATTTATTTTTGTCGTTTTAAAAGACTGGATTAAAAACATATATTTCTCTTAGGGGATTGTAAAGAATTATAAATGGAATGCACATTTTCAGTGATGGTGTACAGTATCTTGGGCAAGATTCATGGGACTTTACATGCATGACTGCATGAAAATAGTCCCATGCATTATTTTGCCATGATGCAGGTGAGAGGTTCTTGATCAAAGGAATTGGACTAATCTTCCCCTTGCTTGAATCAAATCTGAATGTCTCCCATGCCACAGGCACATATGACTCCTATGGGTTTAGTACTTTCTTCTGATTAAAATATAACCAAATGCCATGCCCATATGACAACAGGAAAATGCAAACTCCCTTCCTGTAAGCTTTTTCACCCTGAACTGTGTACCTCTTCAGTACAGGAAAGACTGTGCTATAACTTAAATTGCCAGGCATACCATCTAAAGGGGACAAAAAGATACAAAACATCCAGGCCATGGGAAAACCTGGGTAGCCACAGCCACTCAAGAGGGAGAGGTTTTTTAGTGCCAGGAAGGAAAAAAAACTGGCAGGAAATGGCAGAAATCGTACACCAAATCCAGTCATTCCTGGAGTGGAACCACAGTCGATGGCCTCCACTCCAAACCAACAGATACAGATACTAATGCCGGAAAAAAAATCCCCCCCCAGTACCAACAATACCACCAGTCCGATAACATTCTTCTTTGCAAATATACAGGGTCTAAAGCCAGCAACAAACAACAAAATACCTTTCATCCGTGGACTGCTTGCAGAGGCAAAGGCAATGTTCCGGCTTTCACTGAGACCCACATAAAGGATCACTTGGACAACGAAATATGGATCCCAGGTTACAACCTATACAGATGTGACAGAGTGAACAGGCAAAAGGGGGGGGTTGGCCTGTACATTGCAGAGTCACTTGTTTGCACAGAACTGCTAAATGCCTCAAATGATGTAGTGGAAGTTTTAGCAGTAAAGGTCGAGAACCAAAACCTAGTCATTGTGATAGTCTACAAGCCTCCGGATGCAACATCCCAGCAATTCCAGGAACAGCTGTTAAAAATTGACCACTGTCTGGAAAACCTTCCAGCTCCTGCACCCAACATCTTGCTCCTGGGGGATTTCAACTTAAGGCACCTAAAATGGAGGAATATAGCAAATAATTGTTGCAGTAATAACACCAGGAGGCAGCTCTGATGAAAACTCACACTCACGCGAGCTTTAAATCTCTGCACAAAAATTCAATTTAAACCAGCAAATAATAGAGCCTACTAGACTGAGAATACACTAGACCTCATCTTCACTAACAATGATGATCTGATAAGAAATATCACCATATCAAAAACAATATACTCAGATCACAACATAATTGAGGTTCAGTCATGTATGCGCGGAGCCCCAGACCGACATAAGGAGATTAGTCACGAGGGAGCATTCACCAAATTCAACTTCAATAACAAAAACATAAAGTGGGACCAAGTAAACCAAGTCCTAACCGATATAAGCTGGGAAGATATACTAAGCAACACAGACCCCAACTTATGCCTAGAACAGATTAACACGGTAGCACTCGATGTATGCACAAGGCTTATTCCTCTAAGAAAAAGGAGGAGTAGATGTAAAACAGAAAGAGACAGGCGCTCCTTTACAGGCGACGGAAAGAATAACAGAGCGGCTAAAAGAGGTCAATATATCTGAAATGCGTAGGGAGACACTGGTCAGAGAACTAGCAAGCATCGAACTTAAGCTAAAAAAAACCTTTAGGATCAAACGGGGGGAAAAAAAAAAGAAAAAAA